CAGGACACCGGCCCTCCAGGACCGAGTTTGGAGACCCTGCTGTACTGAATGTAACAAAATTCATAGTAATCAAATAACACGTTTTTTAATTTTTTTTAAATTTTTATATATAATCATTTTAATTCAGTCAGAGAAAATATTGACTGGGCTAGCTGTACGAAAAAACAAAACAATAAAACCATTAGAAAATAAAATTATATATGATATATATAAAATAAAATGATGTATGATATATATAAAATGATGATAAAAATGACAAAAGCACATAAAATTACTAAAACTTAAATGAAAAAAGAAAATACAAAAATAAAAGCCAATTTCAATGTATTAATAAATACTATAATAGTATATAAAAAAAATACCACAGAATTTCTCAGAGTAATAATGATATTGCATATAACAAAACTCATTTAACATTATTAAATAAAACAATTTTAACCCCTTAGCATTCCTGTAAAATTTGCCTAAAACGCCAAAAAAAAAGGCATACCCAAAGTATATTGCATGCCGTTCTTGAACCATTTGGAGTATATGCATGGTTTTGGTCTCAAACCTTGGAATCACTGTAGGTCTTACTGGTATTGAGTAATAGAACGTTGAAAACACTGAAAAAGGAAAAAAACATTCTGCCTACATTTTTTTTTGTAAACAGATGCCTGCAGACAGATGACTATAGCAGGGAGCTATTAGCTGGAAAACACAATGGGATCACAGCATGATGCCTTGTTGGTGGTCTGACAAGGACACTGATTATACCTGCTGTGTTGATTGTATCTTAAAATGGTTTGCATCATTCGAATCAAAAGAATCTCAGCTTTCCAAAGATATGTGACATGTTTAGCATTTTTTTGTTTTGTTTTATGTCACAAAGTTAACCCTCAAAAACATGCAGTGGAACGATAACAGGTTAATTTAGTCAGTCAGAAAAAATACATTGGCTGGACTAGCTGAACTAAAATCATGAGATGTCAATCATCTGAATGCATGTTGGAACACACTGCACCGGGCACTTGAGGTGTAGACAGATTTGTTGCTTACAATCAGAGCGATGTAGTCTTGTTTTGCACTTTGAGTCCCCTAAGAGATTGTTGAGGACATTCATACAGCACCATGCTAGAAAAATAAGGGTAATAATACTAATAAACCGCAGGCCTGTATCTTGAATGCACTGTAATAACCATTGGACTGTGGCATACTGGGCAAAGTAACATTCAACTTCTTAGCAGATGTGCTGCAAAAACAAAACAAAACAGAAGCTCTAAACTCTCATCTCTTGCTCCTTTCACCCAGGACTGTACATCAGCGAGGACGACAGCTCATGTCCAGAGCGATTTCGGGGTCTTGGGGTGCGAATTGAGGACGACGTGGTGATCCGAGAACACGGGGGACCCCTCGTTCTATCTGCAGACACCCCAAAAACCATCGCTGAGGTGGAGAGAGCTTGCGCGCATGGAGAGGACTGAAAGGAAAGAGTAAAACATAGCAAGTCCTTCTAGAATGACACTGTTTCTCCCATCTTTTAACACCTCCGCTGGTAGGGTTTTCTGTAATAGTCGACTCGGGAGGTCTGGATCTCACAGAACTTGCTCCAGTTATGTATTAAATCTGGAGGATTAAGAGCTGGACGTGTTGGGACAGCGTGCAACGTCTCCCTGATAGCCAGTTGGGTCGTGTTTTGTATTTGACATGCACAACTACACTCTCAGAAAAAAGGTACAAAAACTGTCACTGGGGCGGTACCCTTTCAAAACGTACATTTGTACCCAATTTACCCCCAAAGGTACATATAAGTACTTTAAAGGTACATATTAGTACCTAAAGTGTACATATCAGGACGTAAATGTACTAATGTATTTTTATCTTTTCAACAGGTACCACCCCAGTGACAGCTTTTTGTCTGAGTGTGTAAGATCTAGGATGAGGGTTTTATAGGAGACTTCAAGTGAGTTCAGATGGAGAAACAAACAGGTTACTATATGATTTAGCAATGTTGAACAGTTTATGTTTGTGTGAGAATTTATGTTTCACTGTGAGAGGCTCTATTTGTGTTTGATTGTGTTTGTCTGCTGAGGTTTTTATTGTCATAAATGTGTTTTTTACTGTTGTCAAAATAAATGTCTAGTTCTTGATTTTGTTGCTGCATTTTGTAAGAGCAATGCATTTCTAAACCACATAATTAGTCACTGAACAGATTCTTTGCAAATATTCATTTTTTTCAATACATATTTGAAACTTTTAATCACTCCATAACACACAGATTATCTGATGTAGTAAATAAGTTATACTAAATTTGCTTGGTTTTAAGTCACAGTGGTTTACTACTAGAAGTCAAAATAAATAAATAAAATAAAATGAATTCGAAAGAAATAGGTTAAAAGTGATTACATTTATGCTCAATGAAGTCTAAAACTATATGCATTTTTCACAATACATATAGATACTAAAATAGTACTCTAAAACCTCAGTAAGGTTGGAAATGGAAAAATTCTAAGGATATCAGAATTTGTGTGTTGGGCTGATGTATTTTTTGTGTGTCTAACCTAATAAAACTAAATATATATATATATATATAAAAGCTAATTCAAAATATTAATATACTATAACACTACACTCTAAAAAATGCTGGGTTAAATACAACCCAGTGCTGGGTAAAATAGGGACAAACCCAGCAATTGGGCTGTTTTGACCCAGCGGTTGGGTTACTACCCAGAAGGTTGGGTTAATCATTTAACCCAACCGCTGGGTCAAAACAGCCCAATTGCTGGGTTTGTCCCTATTTTACCCAGCACTGGGTTGTATTTAACCCAGCATTTTTTAGTGTAAAATAACACTGATTCTTTCAAATTATATGATTGCATATTAATATAGTGTATATAATAAAATCACTAAAAGTAACATATTTTAAATAAAATAATTGTCCAGAAAAAATACAGTGGCTGGACTAGATATTCACAATACAAATAGACCGAAAAATAGTGCCCTTAACCTCAGTAAGGTTGGAAACGATAATGGAAAAACGAACTTAAAAACATCAGAATTTGTTTTGTGTGTTGGGCTGCTGTATTTTTGTGAATCTGACAATTTATAAGTTGCAGGTTCGATCCCAAACAGAAGTGTTACTAACATCAGCAAAAACTAAAGAAAACTACACAATATTTTTGAAATTATGTATAAGCATGTTCTGAGTCCGCTAAGCTTGTTTAATGCCCAAAAAGACGGTCTAGGTGGACTTCATGATGCTCTGAAGGCGGTCTATGTAAGCAGCTCAATGTCTGGATAGGTTTTTGAACATAAGTGGTTTTTGAATGTGTCTATGAGGCTCGAAATGCCATCTAGCTGGCAGCTCTTGAGTTTTTGAACATGCTATGATGCCCCAATATGTGGTCAACTCAAGATTTTGAGTTTTTGTAAAACTGAGCTCACTCAGAATGTGCAGATGTCCCCTAAAGAGTAGATCTATGGTTGGCAGCTCACTAGATTTTGAGACACAATTTCTCAGCTTAGATGACTTGCAATGCATTTATGCCCCTTTTTTTTAATGTGAGCTGACTTTGAACGTGCCAATGAGGCCCAGAAATGCTGTCTAGCTAGGCCACTCACTAGATATTGAGGTTTTTGAGGTGGATTGACTCTGAACAGACTTATGATTCACATTCATGCTAACTACATGGTCAGCTCCCTGTGTTTTGTGCGGAAATGCTGTTTAGTTAAGCAGAGTTTCTGAGCTGATATCCAGAAATGATTTCTAGGTAGGCAGCTCACTAGGTTATGGAGTTTTTGAGCTCTAATTGACTCTGAACATGCTTATGTTGCCAAAAAATGCTAGGTCCCTTTTTTTGATCTGAGCTCACTCAGAACACACTTAAGGTGTCCAAAAAAGCAGGACTAGGTAGGCAGCTGACTAAAATTTTGAGACATATTATCTCAGTTCAGGTCACTTGCAATTCGGCCATAAATGCTGTCTTGGAAAGCAACTTGAGGTTTTTGAGCCGAATTGACCCTTGGTTTTGAGACACAATCTCCTAGCTGAGATTATGCTCAGTTATGTTGTTGCCAGTTGCTGTCTAGCTACGTTTTTGAGCTGAGCAGACTCTTAATGCGCATACGACGTCCAGCAATGCCATCTAGGTAGGTAGGCTCACTAGGTTTTGAATTCACTCTGAACATGTTTATGATGCCCAAAATGCTGCTACATAGTCCGTTTTCTTGGTTCCCTGCTGGAAAAAAAACTGCTAAATCCAGCCTATGCTGGTTTTAGATGGTTTAAACTGGGCATAGCAGGTCTCCCGGCTGGAAGACCAGCTAAAAACCAGCTTAGGCTGGTTTCAGCAAGGTTTTGAGACCCAATCTCTCATCTGAGATGATGCCTAATGCAGTTATGGCAAAAATAATCCTAGTAAAGCAATGCTTTTGAGCTAAGCTGACTATGAACATGCCTATGATGTCCAAAAATACTCTCTAGTTTGGCAGTACAAGGTCCAAAAAAAAAAAAAAA